GGCACGGCCCCCTGAAAGCGGTTCTTCCACATTGGTCGAGGGCACGGACGGCCCCTTCCGCTGCTGCACCATCCGGAATTGGGGTGACACCCGCGTGCGCCCGCTGGCGCGGTGTGTTTCACACACCCGCGTGTTGCGTTGCAGGCGGAGGTTCATGGCGGTTGGTTGCGGCAGCTGGGTGTTGACTGGCCCAGTGGTTGGGTCGTCACTGCTGGGGATGACAACGCCACCTCAGCCGCAGCGAGCGTCGTTTCCTGCGTAGAGCAGGGGAGTGGATGATGAGTAGACCTGGAGTGGCCAATATACATTGACAATGATATGCATGCGTGTCCTGTACCAAATCCAGGGTTCAGATAGGGAGGTCCTACACTCCGATAGGATCTGGCGGAGAACGGTTAGGGTGGCCGAAACGTGGCAGAAATGGAAGGGGATGGTCACCTTATATAACTTACTGTATATAATAATCGTAATAATAATAATAAGCTTTTCGAGCTTTGCTGCTTTGCGGTTGTTTTTGGCATCAGTGGCTCAGCTCTTTGACCCAGTGGCTCGGGGAGATGTTGGAAGCATGGGCCATGCTTCAACCCTTCGATTCTAGGCGCCCGGCTTTTTCGAATCAAAAGCGTCCTGTGCGGAGGGATGGTGAACCTGTGCCTGCTGGGATGCCTTCCCACCTCATTCACCCAGGCGATCCGAGTCTTTAGATACAAGGCGAGGGGGGCCCGGGATGAACCCGGTGAGAAGGACTTCACCACAGGGGCCGGTGGACGGGAGATCTTGTATTCTGAAGCTACTGGGAGAAGGACCGAACTGATGAGCCTGTGCATTTGAACAGGCCCTGGCTGGGTGGACGGGTCTATTTCCCGAACTGAATCCACGGGGTCGTTGCCTGGGAGGTCCCACAGACACCCATATGGATTCTGGATGATCATTCAGTCATTGTTTCTGTTTGATCCTTGCTCCGTACCGAGTGCAAACGCTCATCCCCGCGAAAGAAAAGAGCTTGACCAGTTCAGAAACCGTAGTGTTCTTTCAAGAGCTTCTAGATTCACCCACGCTTGAGCGTGGCAGTTGGAGTATGAGAGTTCCATGAAAAGAGGGGCCTCTCGTGACTTGGAATGGCACAGCCCATGAAAGCCTCAAGACATTGCTTTCATGCTCAGTATCACGAGGTTCCTTCAACTTGTAATGCCGCAAGAAGATGGATCCGCTCTTGAAACCCTGCAACTGGCCGTGTTTCTTAATGAAATGGACCGCAATACCGAAACGACAGAGGAACAACTTCCCCACCAATTCACGGCGAAGTATCCAAGTTGACGAGGCTTCCTAGACATTCCTAGACCACACAGACGCACCTTCTGCACTTTGTCTTCCGCGCGTGCGGTGGAGGGAGCCTGACCAGGATGACGAGGAGCGCTTCGAAAACGTGACCGATGTGGACCAGGCGCATCCGAGCGGTGTGCTCGGGCTGCAGTTCTGTGCGAAGACCATGCGACTTGGAGCGTGTTGAGCGGCGGGTGGCCGGAGTTGCCGGTGGGGGAATGAGCGGATGAGTGAGTGAGATCCCCTGGAACTGGCAGTCAGCTGAAAAGAAAAGTCGTAAGTCAACTTGGTACAGGAAACGCCATCTTCCAGGCGGCCATCTTCTCAGGGTCAGGTTGAAACGCAGCAGTGGTGGATGTCGGTGGCAGGCCTCTTGGCCGCCCCTTGCGATGGGCCCAACACACGAGGACGCCCACGCGCGTTTTTGACCCCCTGCACCACGAGCGAAATCCGAAGACCGGACAGTTGGTGAACTCCATGCCTTAGCCTTGTGACCGACTGGGCACTGTCATGGTTGGAAGGGACGTTTTGTTCCATCTAAGGGGCCTCCATCTAAGGGGCCTCCCTGACCCTGCGGGGTCTCCTTAACTAACAAAGCCTAACAAAGCCTTCCATCAAAAAATTTGGCGCGGATTTTTGATCTCGGAGTTACCAGTTAATTGCGTGATGTTCGGGTGATCCTTCAGAAGTACCTTTAACCCCTCCAGGTGACTGGATGTCTTGGGGCTTCTACTTGTTTTTTCCCTCAGAATGCACCCTGAAGCGCCTACAGTAGTGAGGCGCCATGAAGCAGCTATACTAACTCGCAACTCCGTGGCCACACGTTGGACGGGGTGTGGCATGAGAATCGCCTTGAGGCGGGTGCTGAGCGCCGGCGAGGATGGCTCACTCCGGTCCTGGATCTTGGACCGACACGAGCAACAGTTGACCTTGGAGGCCGACAACGACAGTGCCCGAGAAGAGGGACAGTTGTTCTTTTTCAGGGGTTGGAAGTTGGAACGGTATATAGAGAAACAGTAGAAAAGAGACCTAATGAAGAGTGAGGATGATTTGTACAACAAGAGGCACCTCGAGGTGTTCATGCCATTTTTGACGTCCTTTGACTGAGTGCATTTTTAGATCCATGTGTTGGATGGGCATGCGTTGCCTTCGACACCCTTCGACTGAACTTTCAATGAAATGGGATGGATGGATGACTGACTCAGTCAGGCATGAACATATTATTTTGTATAAATTACCACTTAAATGGTAGACACAAGTCCCCAACCCGCGATGTACGCGAAAACAGGGGCTACATGTATAGTGAATCCGTGTAAAGCAAATCAGTGCTTTTAGATCTCGGCCATCCAGTGCCACAAGACAGAGCCTTCAAAGTTTTCAAATGGATCACCCATCACTCGGCTCTCACTTCGTACTAGGAAATGGAGGGTGATAGTGATGTATTTTGTGTTGTTTTGTCGCTGTTTTGAGATGTATATAAATATATATATATATGATTTCTGATTTCTATAATCTTTTTCTCACGTGGGTTCTGTGCCATCTGTGGCTTTCGGCTTCTGTGGCTTTTGCTTCGTTGGCTTGTGCTCAAAACTCCACAAAGAGCTAACTAGCAAAACCGAAAACAAGGAGGAAACCATGAGACATCTATGCACTTGCGAAAGCAAGGACGACACCATGATACATTTGTACTTGTACATCTACCTTCATGTCCACATTCCAGAAGGAACTACCTATAGAAGACCTAAAGCAAAAAGACACAACAAACCTTAAACATTAACATTTCAGCACCAAAAAGGAAATCCCTCATCGCTTCCAATTTCCTCCAAATTGGGCGCTCTTTGTGAGGCCAAGGTGGAAGAGGCCCATGGTCATGGAGCCGTTTCACAGAGCTCTGGCCGGGAAGAGATTGGCGTGCGCCTTCTCCCGCGCGGGGCAGTTGAAGGTGCGCTCTCTGTGGTCGACTGTATTAGTCAACTCGAGGTTTGGGGAATCGGAAGCAGTCACGTGTTTCCTCAGATGGAAGTTCTCAGGGTTGACTTAGCAGTTGCTTTGCACACCATCCCTTACACTGAACGCATTTCAAGGCATTTCAGCTCTTTGACTTATACATTATCCAGTTTTGAAACCTAGCTGAGACCCGCTCCAGCCCGGTGGTTTGGTCAAGTCACCAAGCTCTTGGTCCACTCTTCGGGGCGAAGGGCCTTGTGAGGCTGCTTCCGGGGCGGGCCAAACAAGCTGCTTTCTCCTAAAACGACCTCGGCAAGCGACCTCCGTTTCTCGATCTCGATCTCATGGACTTTCGCTTTCATGAACTGATCGAGATTCGGATCGGACACCCATCTGGAGACCCACTGAATCCTCATGGAGCACGCACTGAAGCTCGGGCGCCCCGCTCCGGCTCGAGTTCGGCGGTTTTTCGTGGCTCAGGCCGTTGCCATCATCCAACATCGAACAGAAGTCATTGACAGAACTGACTCACCGAGTGCAACTCATGAAGGGGGTCAACTAGTCTGGCTTAGCCCGGGCTTAGCCAGGAAGTAGACGAAGTAGACCGTGAGTGGAGCGACCCAAAACGAGCTTGCTAAGGATTCAATACGATTCTGAGAGAGTCCTGGCTGCAGGGACGCAGCCTCTTCGAAGAAAGTGTCCCACCTTGTGGGGTACCAGGGTGAAGCCGAAGCGCTGTTTGTCTAATGGGACGGGGAGTGGTTCTTCTGCATGCCCAGACCTTCACGACTCTGCGTTTTTCATCTGTTCTCGCGGTTCTCGCTGCTTCTCGCACGGCCGCCGGCCGGCCGGTGGCGAAGGAACTGAAGACAGGTCTCTAGATCGACCGAGTCAACAAAACAGAAAAACAAAAAACTCCAGCCTCCAACAGTATCAAACGATGCAAGGACCCTGCAAGGAACCCGTAAGGATGAGTCCAGATCAAAAGGGCAGCTTCAGTGATCTGGTGATGTGTGGCATTTGTGTTGATTGCTCATGGTGACAAGCCCTCACTGAGGCAGGCTAGTGGTAACTGCCGGCTCCGATCACTTCTTGCGCGCAGTTTGGCCGATTTGAGGGGACTGAAGGATGTGGAATCCTGGGAGTGCTTAGTATGTTCATGTCTTTTCGCACTTGGGGTCGCTTCCTGTTGCGATCTTAGATCTCTTTCTTGATGCAGCGAGTTCAGCTTCAGGTCAACGACGTAGATCTTCCAAAAACAAACCACAGCAAACCCAGCTGAATGGGTCATGGCCGATTCATGGCCATATGCCATATCCACTCTTCCCCTCAAAAGGTCCTATGGCAGAGACTTTGGTGGTGATCCATGGCTCGTGGTTTTGGAGCCTTGACCCTTCACATTTTTGGATCCTCCGGGTGAACGCCTCGGTGGGATCGGCCGGATCGGGGGTGGACCGTGTGCTGTTCCGCCTCGGTCGGCCGTGTCCCGACGCTGTCGAGGTTTGGCTCTTGAGCGCGGAAGGCTTCGAACGCTTGGCCTCAGTGAGAGGCGTGGTGCCCGGAGGGGCTGGGGCGGCGCCGATCCACCGGCGGTGTCGGTCCCGGGTGCTGCGGAGAATGACTCCTGACGAGTTGAGTCATGCTAAGTCACTTGGGGGTGTGTGACAGGTGTGTGATCCAATCGCATCAATCACGTTACGCTGACGCCAGGGGGGTTTTGTTCTTTCTGCAGCTTTTGAACACGTTCGGTTTGTTTTCTCATAGTTCGATCCCCCGCCGGCCTTCACGATCTCCGCTTGCCATGGCCGCGCCCGAGCCCTTCCGGATTCACGTGTCCGACGACGACCTCACGGACCTGCGACAGCGCCTGCAGCGCGCGCGGGTGCCGGACCAAGTCGGTGCAGGACAAAGCGATCCCAATGGTGCATGGGCGCGCCCAAGCTGATGGTCTGGAGCGGGGGATGAGCTGAGCTAGGAAGATCATGACTGACTGGTCTACCTCCAGAGGTGTGTTGAAACATCTTGAAACCATCCATATTAAGAGATACAAGGCTGTTGTCCATGGTTCTCCCAATTTTGCGGAACCTTCGTTCGGCCTCTGGCATTGCCAACCATGCAGCAACGGATGGTTCGTTGGCGATGCAGAAGGTGCCTCGCAGTTGGTATCATGTTGGAGGCCTTTTTCAGATTGCCGGGTTCCCAAAGTATACCAAGTCAGATTTTCCGACTATGCTACATTTCTACCTTTTTGGCTGGGTACATTGATGAAAAGACAGACATTTGGCATAGTTGGAAGACCCATTGTAGACTAGATCTACTTTGCGTTGAACGATTTCTCTAGAGCAGCATGTTCCCCTCCAGCATGCGGGGGCACCCCTCTGTGCTCCCGCTCGGATCATGTGACGAGGTATGGAACTGACAAGGCCGCACTGCAAGATTACGTGCCACTTGGATGCAGGCGAAACCTATAGGCTTTGTTTTTAGGGAGATGGATGGGCCTTTGGAGGGTCGAAAAAGGGCCACATGCACCCTATAAGGATGCTTGAGAGCTTGGCCAGGGGTCGCACCCTCCATTCCCATGGCCAGGGAGTATCAATAGAGACCAGAGTTCTTAATCGTATTTGATATGATATCAACACCTCCGTTTTCCCGTCTTTACTTCAGGTGACGCTCCCGTCGGGCTGTAGCTGGTCTTGCATGGTTTTGCGGGGTCGTGTGTCCTGGCAGGTCTCACTGGCTCACGAAGTTCGATTGGCGGCAGCAGGAGATCCTGGTGAAGACCGGTCGTGCAGAACGTGGCGTGGATATCACACTCAGACCAGTTCTGGGTGCCCGAGACAAGACAGATCAAACAACTGACAATTACAGATCATGCAAGTTACACTCCACTGAATGGCATCACCGTTTCGGGTTCCAGTGCTCATTTTCGGGGCGTTGGGTTCCGCAGGAGGCCAAGCTGAATGCGGTGCCCCAGTTCACCTTGCAGGTGAATGGCCTGAAGACCCACTTCATCCACCAACGCTCAAAGGAGCGCGAGACGAATTGTTCCCGGTGAAGTGGGAGAGAAGCGGGGCGGCTGAGAGGAAGGACTCGGTACTGTCGGTACTGGAGCTTGCTTAGGCATGACAATGGGATTATGATGTGGTTGGAAGGGGAAGCTGGATCGGATCTCTACATGCCACGATGAAGAGATACTTTTCCTTCTGCTCCATAAATGGTTCACGCATATAAATGAGTAAGAAATAGTAAGAACTAAGAACAGAACCCTCGCTTTTCATAGTCATCTCTTGCTACCTTCTTTGCCCTGCCACAGAGTCTGAGTAAACTGGGCCGCAGCTCTGCGGGCCGCAGCCAACCGCCAACCATGTCTTCCAACCATTCTCATCCATTTCAAGGTGCCGACCCACCAACGGCCGGTCTGTTCTTGCGGGCCCTCCGAACCGGAGGACACGGCGGCCATTCCGCTGCTGCTGGTGCACGGCTGGCCGGGCTCCTTCGTGGAGTTCATGCTGCTTGGAATGGTGGCAGATGTTCGATTTATATCGATTGATCGGTTGCGGGTGCGTGGTCGGCCTATATCATTATTGCTCAGGCAGCTGCTTGTGACTCAAAAGCTTTGCACACCAACAATCCGACAGATTGTGGAGGAAGATGGTCAACGCCGCCGGGTCCATGAGATTCCCATGTATTTCAGCTGCATGATGCCTAAAACGATCATGCATGTCATGCATGTATAGAAAACACACAGCTCAACATAGGCCCCCTTGGATGTTTTTCCTCTACCAAAACACGTGGTGCCATCCACTTCCAGGAGGGAGTGTCTCTTCTTCTTCGCCAGCCGATGTCTTCAGTGATGTGTTACACCTGACGTCCTCCAGGAAGCTTCTGCCCCTGCTGAAGAAGTTCCACGTCGTGGCGCCCAGCATCCCTGGCTACGGCTTCAGCGAGGCGCCCAAAGAGCCCGGGGCTTCAGTCCCTCGGCGGAAGCGACGAAGGCCGTTCAACCAACCGGGGAGAGCATCAACTCGGAGAGTCAGAAGCAAATGGAAAAGAGGTTGGTAGCATGTGAAAGCATCCTATTCAGCTTTACTTTGAGATGATTGAAGCCACTGACGAATTCTGATTTTTCTCCTGGGTGGTGTACCTTTTCGGTAGCCTTGGTGTTCAACCTTTTACGTGCGGCGAGTTGAAACCACCAACCCATACTCCATGGGAGGAACGTGGTGCCGAACGAAGGTGCCGGGGGTGGACGTCGAGCCTGCCCCTGTCACCGAGGGGCTGAACGCCGGAGGGGCGTCGCAAGCTCGCTTGGGTGGTTGGCTCTCTGTGGAAAACGAGTCCCCACACCAAGGGGTCGATCCCACACCAAGGGGTCGATCGATCTATCTCGGGTGGCTTGGAAGTCGGGCTATGCTGCCCGGTGGTGAGAAACTCACCTGGGTGTGGTCAGAGCATCGCCTGAAAGCATCGCTCCCGAGCAGACCGTGACGTGAAGCCACTTGATGTGATCGTTCGCTCATGTTGACCTGATTTGGCGAGCAGAAAGGGTCCAAACCGTGGTGAATCAGCTGAGCCCTAGGGAATCGCAAGAGTGTCGCCGTCGATTTGGTGGCCTCTCCAATCGACAGTGACTTTTGAGAGACCTCAGAGACCTGCTGCGGAAGTGTCGCGAGGTGGAATGCACCAATAACTCATCCCCCAGAGACACCTGGAGGTCCACTTTTCGATGTATAACTACAAAATGGCTAACAGAACCTCACCATATCTCACCCGTATAACTCACAGGGGGATCAAATCACAAGCAAGACAGAAGCTGTTGATGCGTGCAGTTCCAGCAGAAGATCCAAACCTTTGACGAACCCTGCCTATCGAGTGCCCTGCATGACGCTACCCTGCCTATCGTTCAGCCTAGCTAGGTGGTTTTCATGGCGGAGCAGCTGACAGAGCTGATGCGCTTGTTAGGATCCTTGGCGATTTGGAGAATGATTTGAGATGTGCGAACCTGGTGAAGCTTCACTTCCGAAATTTGAGGAACCTTGGGTTTGGAGCTCCATCAATCAAGGTTCAGATCTAGGATCAACACAGTTTCACACAGGTGCCCCTCCTCAAATCTGGCGAACTTTGTGCCTTTGAAGCTCATCTCAGACCCACCCCGTCAGTAGTTATTTAAGCTTAACGTTATTTTAGCATTTCTTGGGGGATCTGACTTTCCTTCAAACGACCCAGTTGTGGAAAGGTTGCAGCCATTCAAGCGAGACGGATGAGGGCATTCGCATGCCTTCGCTGGCACCTCCCAGCCAGGCTATACCCATTATGTGGCACAGGGCGGCGACTGGGGTTCCATCATCACCACGCAGGCACCGACTTGAACCTGCGCAATCGAACCACGCATGGTCTACCTCGAGCCCGAACCACGTTCGATGTGGCCGGTCGCGCGGCGGAGGGTCTGCGACCGCTGGGGTGGGGTATTTGTCGGGCTTGGCTCCCAAGGGGCCACAATGAGATCGAGATAGATCGAAATAGGTGCATCAGGCTGGCCCTGGATGGAAGAAGATTGCACGAGCTTGGTGGATATATGTCACATTCAGGGGCACCATAGCACATGCTGGCCAGATGGGTGCGATGCGACGTGAGGATGCGATTGCTATTGGGGTTTATGATTTTTCACTACCTTAGGTCAAGCCATCGTCGCATCCCTCCCTCTCATGTCGAAGTGTGTGGCAGAGAATGAGGGTGTTGGAAGTATGATCTCCAAATGGCAATCACTCGTCAGATGTATAAGCAATAAGTTCCAAGGGGTCAGTTCTGTATCATTGTGCTCGCTCGATTTTGTAGTAAAGTGTCCTGAGCCCCAGCCTGACCAGGAACCACTGTTTTTTCACCGCAACATGTCGACACTGGGATCCACTTGGAATGGAGGACATTAGCTTGAGAGGTGGCAGTATATATATATATGATATATATATATATGTACAAGTAATGACTATAGAGAGAGGTGGCATATTTGCACCAAGCCGTCAGGTGGCTGGGAGGTATCCTGAACGCTGTGTGGCCCTCCACCTGCAGCTTGGCCTGGTTTTGAGGTCCTTCGCGTTAGTTTCTTGGGTCCCCAATCTCAAGGAATGTGGCCAATTTCATGTGTCACTTCCATGATTGTTTGATTGGTTCGGTGCCAAATCTTTACCTTACTTGAGAACTGGAAGATCCAGAATCGAATGGGAGAGTCTACAGTAGCCAATGGGATGGGCCCCTGGCTTGCGTTCACCGCGTTCACCGGCGTTCGGATCAGACCGGAAGTGCGATGGACCACCGGGAGTGGATGTCAAGATGGGGCCTGGGATGGAACCACATAAGTCACTCGTGAAAAAAAACATGGCAACTCTCTGGAATGGCTCATGATCCATCCCAATTATTGGGTGTCTCCAGCTTTGTCCCCAAGTCACTGGTGAAAAGGATGAATTTGGATGCTAAGGAACATGTGTGCAGCCATCCCATCGACCATTTCCGATTTCGTTCAGGCCTGGACTCAGGGTGTGGGCGTGGAGGGGTCAGACTCAGCTCAATTGGGTGCTTCTTGGAGCTGAGGAGCTGAAGATAGCTGAAGCTTCTTTCCGACTATCAAGGGGCCTGCAATTGTTGATGTTGCAAGATGGCTGACACCGCCAAACAAAAAGGTGCTACGAACTCTGTCACTCCCAGACACTCCATGATGGCCATCTTTGCCATACATTGAGGTGGTTGAAAAGGGCCATACATCCAGTGTTTGGGACTGGTCTTTTTCCCCGGGCATCTCTCTCTCCACCGACTCGACGAAGGTTGGTGGTGTCCACCGAACGTGCCCGGACCTGGCAGGTCGCGTTGACCATGCCCTCATGGAGCAAGGAGCTGGGTGTTGGAAACGGGCAGTCTGACCCTTTTGGGTCAAACGCAGACTGCTCCTTGAAGGTTTCCAACTCTCATTTCTCAGTCGGACTGCTCCTTGAAGGTGTCAGGCTGTGTGAAGGTTTCAGTGGCCAAACGTTGGTCTATACTGCGTACCGTACCTGTGCAGTTGGGACGTGGTTTCTTGGCAGACTCCGAACCTCGTCTGACATGGATTTTTGGCGACCCTGGCCTGCTTGCCACCTCCATCGTAGACCTAACTGAAGTAGTCAGGTCTCTCTAGCCACTTCAGCCACATGTGCAGGAGGAGTGGGATGCAGTGCGGCGAACCCAGTACTTTATGAAGTATGAGACGGGATACCAGAAGATCCAGGGCACGAAGCCTCAAACCTTAGGCCGGACGACCCCCGACCCTGCCGACGGAGCGATTCGTCCGCTGCCTAGCACGAAAGATCATCCGATGGGCCCCGATGAGGACCGATCATGAAACCCAATACTTGGCGGAGGGCAAGTATGCTACTGGTAGGATCTGGTAGGAGTAAGGCCAGGTTCTTGTGATTGCCTGTGCTGTGTTCCTCACGAGGGTGGACGGACCTAATCTCTGTAGCAGCTCTTTGTCATTGCTACTCTGACTCCAACGCAAGCAGATGTCCATGGTGGTTTCATCTGGCACCCGCAAGGCTTGTTTGTGCCGTCCTCATCCGATCGTATCCCTGCGCATTTGCACTGAAACGAGGTGTCCGACGTGTTTTTTGTTCGTTTCTCACGAGAGGCTATGGCCTGAACGACAGCCCTGTGGGCTTGTTGGCTTGGATCCTGGAGCATCTTGACGAGAGTCGGCGACAGGCTGCACAAACCAGGTGGGAGAGGCATCGAGAGGATATGGGTCAAATAGCTGGGGGTCTTGAAAGTAGATCAGACAATGGGAATGACGTTCTTTTTTGGTCCTTATGTTCAGTCTGGTGCTTTCAGATTCCCGATTGATGAGTAGGATAGAGTAGGGCATGTTCATGAGATGATGACCAATGGCAATCAGTTTTTAAACATGTTTCTTTGTTCTTCGGACATGTTGTTCCCATAAACTTTACAAACCTATAAACCATAAACACTTGAATATACTTGAATCAACTACCATTATTTAACACCTTAATTAATATGGATATAAACTTGTGTTGCGGGCCACACGCAAAAATAGCGAACCCTGCACAGAATTGGTTTGGGACGTTCTTTCCTGGTCCCCCCCAAACTGGCCCAGGGCCGGGTGGCGCCAGCACCGTGCCACGTCTCACCAGGTCGTTTGGGTAGGAGGTGCAGCCATGAAAGGCTTTCAACTGTAGTCTCTTCGAGGTTAAGGGTGTTGGTGCCAAGTTCCAAGGGTGTTGGTTTTTCACCCGGACCGGGTCGGGTGAAAAGGTGCCACCGATGGTCGTTCGAAAAAGCGAATTCGGAGCAGGTCACGGACCGACCCGGGGAGAGAGGTCGCTTCCGGGTAGATTCGGAGGAGGTGGTGGAACAGCCTTGGACCGCGGACGGTGCTTGGGAGAAGTGGTAAGGGACTGAGTGATTTGGTAGGCTGTTAGTAGTGAATATATATATATATATAGATGGTTGCAGCCGCGTAGACCTTTTGGGAGGCCATTCGTTTGCAAAGGGTCTCCATGTCTTGTTCCTGGCAGTTGTTGGAACCATAATTGTTCACTGAGTAGGCTAGGCAATGTTGCCAAGAAGTCCTCAGGCCTCAGTTCTCCTTTAGATTCGTTGTTGTTGGCGCGTGCAACTTCGGCCCTCAGGAAGTTCCAAAGCTGGAGCGACAGCCATGGGCAGCGGCCGGACGCACCAGGGGGCAGCGGCCTCACGATGGACGAGATTTTGATGCTCGAGCCATTCACGGGTTCAGAAGACTGGGACAAGGGGCCATCGCTACTAGGGCCTAGGTTGGAGGCCATGGCTAATAGGTAGGAGGCCATGGCTGTTAGGTTGGAGGCCATGGCTAATAGGTAGGAGGCCATGGCTGTTAGGTTGGAGGCCATGGCTGTTAGGTTGGAGGCCACTACTAGTAGCAAGAAGCTAGTAGGTTGGAGGCCATGGGGGGGGTGCTTCATGCGGTTGATGGAGCTGGGGCACTCGTTGGGCGGGATCTTTCCCCTCTTGAACAGGTGGAGCCACCGAACTTTGGGGTGTTTCCAAACATGCTCGTAGATCGCAATGATTGAGTGGAGATTGGGGGCAGCTGATGGTGGATCCCGAGGTGGTGAACCAGGTTCACCAGCACCTGACCTTGGAAAACAGGGGCCCAAGATCAAGTTTCAGGATGGTGGCCTGGTACCAAACACATGGCCAGCCAATGCGTTGTTCTTGATACTTTTATTTTTTGCTTTCTATGGTTGATGGACTAGTGGTTTCAACATGGCTGTCGGGGGCAAGGAGCGGTTTCCTTTTGAGAGCTTGATATATATATATATATATATACACACCTCCTCTGTATGCCCTGTCTTTTCTGTTTCAGTCATCAACGGGCTCTGTTTTGCCTATCTGCCTATCTGCCTCTGGCCCAAGAAGACCCTAGAAGACCCTTTCATGAAGTAAATGCAGTTGTCTTTGTTTCTTTTCTGTTTTACTTTTGTCATTTCTTTGTCGCGTTTCTGCCCATCGGCCTTGTCATTTCGCAGCTCAACCGGGGCCGGGGTCTGAAGAAAGTGCCCAACGCAGCGAGGACGAATGTGATGATCTACTGGAGCAGCCAGAGCATTACCTCCAGCTGTCGGCTTTATTACGCCTCCTGGGCTTAAATCCAAGTGGATCGGGCCTGAACATGCTAAAACGGAATGGCCGTTTCTTTTTCAAGCAGCTTGAAATGGAATGTGGAAGGTGCCAAAGGATGCCGAAGGACCCCCTTTCGGCTATGGTGTGCAGATTGGAGTGACCGGGTCATGTTTGAGGATGTCTCTGGTGTGAGTCGAGCGAAGGAGTTTCGAGGTCACCAGGTGTTTTGGAAGGATCTTTTCCAGATTCGAGGTGCTCGGTGCTCTACTGAAACACAACCAGGCGCTTATGGTCTTAAAATGCCCATCCAAGAAAGCATGCAAGAAAGCATGGAGCCCATAGACAAACCTCAAAACAGGTCCCGGGACCTCGGGACCCGGACCGGTGTGTCCTGGTTGGTCCGGACCAAACGCCACAGCCGAGCAAGGAGACTTTGGGGCTCCACCCCAGCCACAAGGAACCTTTGCAGCTACAGCCTGGTGGCCTTCTTGGCGGAAAGGGCACGGGCGTTCTTGATGTGCCGGCTCTTGAGATTGATCAACCTCCATCAAATCCCAAGACATGATGTTATATGGAGGCTGTTTCACCGGTTTAACTGGGTTTTATGCATCAAGAGTCTACATGACTCTAACCTCCGACTTTTCCCTCAGAGTCTTCCCTGCTTAAGGGGAGGTCTTTCCTCGAGACTTTCAACCGCCTCGACGTCGAGATGGATCACGGTCGAGACTTCTGGATTGCTTTGGTCGATCCTTCAGAAGTTCTCTGCCTAAATGGACTTTTTTTGTTCACCCGAGCATGTCGCACGATTTTTGTTGCACTTTGGACCGTGCATGTCCATACCACGGACATGTCTGGCCCAAATCATGAGGGACCAACCTGGGCCCAGGTGGGCCAAGCAGCCGAAACTCGGTTCTTCGAAACGGACAGATGGGAATACCCAGACACTCCATGGGACTGCCGTATAGACCTACATTGGGGTGGTTTTGGGGGTCAATGTAGGTAGATATGCCATACATGGAGTGTTTGGGAATATATGGGTCCGGGTTGGCATTTTCAGGGTGTGACACCCAACACCCGTGGGGTTTTGATCTATTTTCCTTCTAGGGGGTCGTTGCCTGGGAGGTCTCACTATTTTAAGACACTACCCATACATCATGCAGCCTATTATTGGGGCCCGGACTCCAGAAATGTCTGACATTGTGCTGCGTTTGTCCAAAAACGTTCAATGGCTTTGAAATTGCAATTGTCAAGAGTCAAGCGTGTTTTTATTTTTTATTTTTTGTAGCCTGATAGTTTAGAGACAGCCTTGCCAGCGAGATAAACCTTCAACTGCAAGAACAGAAATGTGCGACTGCTTGGCTGCAACGCGGATCATTGTAGGTTCACATTGTGGGGACGACTTCGACAAATCCGTCGACGCACCTTCCTGAAGGAAGGCATACCCCAACAGCAAGCACCAGGTACTGATGGGTTCTCACATGCTTGCCGTTCCTCGACTGGGGGTACTTTGGTCCCAGTCCATGGTGAGGGCTCGGTGTACTCAGGTTACGTGGCAGTGCCCACAGGCGTGATTTGGTCCAAGGCTGAGATTATCAAGGTGCCACGCAAGGCTGGGAGACATTTTCATTGCAACTCAAACATCATGGCTTTGGTCCCCGCAGGCTTAGGTCATGTGGTCCATTTAGGGGTGCCCTAACTTGCCTCATGTGTTTGTTTACAGCTCTGGCAGATAGCATAGGCCAGCACAGTGGCCTTGCCTGCTTCACACACACACAACCACACATGCCGCCTGCCTGATTGCATCGTAGCTAGCACACCCCCGGAATCCCTGTTTCCTAATTGACACAGTCTTGTGCAGGCTGGAACTAGACCTACCAGCACCTTCGAAAGGGGTCTCCAATGGAATACCATGGAATACCCTACACTATATACTTGTGGATCTGGCAGGACAACCCCTTTGAAGGTCCAGGTCGTAGAGTATGCATATTTCTCCATGGAGCTGAGAGCCGTTCACTATTCTGAGTAGCTCGTAGCAGAGCTGCGACAGCTGCGAGGTGGCTGAGCTGCGTTACAACATCAAGCCGCTGGGCAGGGAGGGCGGATGAGGGCGGCAGTAGATGATACCAGTGAAGCGCCTGGATCTCCCGAAACTCGACCCCGTTTGGTTGGTGGACCGTTCTCGTTCTCAGGGTGCCATTGATGGTCCATGTGCGGTTTGTTTCGGACTGGCGATGCGGCATCTATAGAAGACGTGTGGATAGAACGCTGCTAGGGGTTCCTGGCATCGCTACGAACGGAGCAAGGACGCTACGAACGGGGCTCCTGGCCGTACTACTAGTAACACGAAGCTATTGGAAATCCCTGGCCTTTTGCTTTCACAGGCCCGGAAGCCGACCCAGTCAGAGTCGCAGGGGCCATGCAGGGCGCCCCTGCAGGGCATGGGCGCGCCAACCGGATCGCGAAGGACCATTTGAGAACATGGTTCAGATCCACCTGTTGAGACCCATGACTTATCTACTCACCGCAGCATCATTTGGGGGGGAAGAGATGCCCCTCCAACTGCCGCAAGTGGACAATCCCCTGTTTGGTCTTCGGATTTCATGGCTTTTCCGTGGCCATGCCACCCAGTTCCATGATTGGAGGGTGTGGAACCTATCTGAGGCACTGGTACGCTCCACCCAAAGGTGGTCACTTCTTTGCGTTTGAGCCGCTCGGTAGCGGAAAGCGCTGCAGCGGAAATCGCTGCAGCATGGCGGAGACAGGTGCAGTGGACAAGTACTTTGGGTGTATTGGTACTGATCAGTACGTATGCTTATCGTTTGCCTATACCTATACCACGCTTTCAATAATTCATTAATTCAATATTTGTGAGACAGTCATGTACTGCACAAGAAGAACAAAACCACCACAGGCGCCGGACTTGGCAAAAAACACCTAGGGCCCACTCTTGAAAAAGAAACAGTACTTCACTTGTTCATCGACATCACCTCAACTGAAGCGACTCAAATTCCGTCTCACGTCGGTTTGGCGCTGCCTGCGCGCCGAGGCAGCCTGAGCTGATGGCCAAGGATTTGAACCACTTCTTTTTTGAGGCCAGGAATTGAGAAGTTGGGAGGTGCCAAGTTGTACAAACTGTCCACATGATGCCTCATTTTCATGTGGGGTAGGGAATGAACTGAAAGAGTTGGAGAGAATTGCATCAAGAGTTGCTTCTTGAGGATAGGTAATGAATAGTAATTGTGTATGGCAATTCACCGGCGGAGTGATTCCACAAGCAGGGTCCTAGTTCTGGTAGGGCAGTCGTCCAACCAGGTGATCAACGGATGGGTCCTGGCACGTCCCAATGCACAGTCGGTCTTCCTCAGGATTCTGGGTTCGCTGGTTCGCACACCAAGTTCGAGTGCCGAAGCGCAGACGGCGAAGTGTGGCCTTAAGTAGGACCACCCAGTCTGGGTAGTTGATGCTATACAGATTGCTACAGTTTTGTCCAAATCCAAGGGTGGATGCGACACGGGACGAGCCAACGAACACGCCAACACACGAGGGGGATTTGATGTTCGGCATCCCACGCGTGGGGACGCGTGGGGCCAAGACCTGGAAGAACGGCGCCGTGACATCGGGAGATGGGATTTTCCATTGAGAACGGGGTGGACCTGAGAACCGACCCTCTTTTCCGTGGCACAGGTCATCGACTTTCCAACCTGTGCTTTGGCTTTGTCCTTCGCGGCGCGGGTTGCGGCTCATGGAGTTGGATGGGATGCTGGCTGAGATTTAATCTATCTAGTGATGCCAACAGGTTGGATCAACTCCTCAGGATCACGCGTTTTTTGTTCGGGCTTCTTAGAATTGGAGGGATCATGAGGGATCTATATAGGTCCTATCTAGGTAGTGCTTCCTCCAGAATCAACCACCTTTTTGGAGGAGGAAAAGCTGCAGCCGCTAAACAGTTGATTCTTCGGCTGGTCTCACGGACGTTCCCTGGTTTTCCGAAGTCTGATAATAAGGCGTTTTTCCCTCAAATCCTGTACCCCGTCCCTTGGTGTGACCCATGTGTGCTTCTTCCATGTCAAGTGTCACTTCCATCTGTTGTGCCGGACATGTCCACCATCTCAAATTGCTGGATTCCTCCATCTTCCTCACTCAGGTGTGCAAACTGCCCCTGCTCGCAGCAGCACTAGCCAGATGCCGTTGTTGGGTGCGACTGCAATGGTAGCACTGCTGGTGGCAGCAGTGGCTTTGAGACTGAGACGGAGTCGATTGTAGGATTCGAGCTGTGTGGCCCAGTGTATATAGCATTATATATGTCATATAGCTCTCAGGATGGGGGTTGAACGGTTGAAGCAGCTACTTTAAATGACATGTGTTCTCAATGGAAGAGTGAACTAGTGAACTCCTAGACTAAATCTTTGAGGTTCGAGCCCCCAACAGAAAGCTGTGTGCCACAACGATCCAGAAAAGGTCCAAGTTTGCGAGGCTCGAAATGTGTATTTACACATTTGCCGGAGCGCCTCGCAATTCCAATGCCGTCGAAGTGGCCATACATCAAGTTGGGAACAGGCTAAACTTGGAGCCCTGCAGCACAGAGAAACTGTGGCCTGGTAGGAGAAACTGTGCGTACTGTTCTTCCCCTTTTTTGATGCTTTTTTTGTGAACCCTGCATGCCGATGTCCAGGTTCGCACGCGCGATAGGTGTTTGAACCTTGCGGAATAACTGGTTCACGTTCTCGTTTCAGAGAATGGATGGAGGTGCATGTGGTTCGACGTTTGCGTGGTGTTTTAGTGGTGAAAGATCAGAATCATGGTGGATATCCTGGGAAGCCTTTCTTTTGAAGCATGGGCTCCCCACTCCCAACGAAACAAATGACGGACGCCTCGAGCTCTCGTCCGTCTCCGGTCCCGCAGCGAGCCGAGCCGCGTCAGAAGCAAAAGGATGCGGAGCTTTGCGGAGAAAGTCATGGCATTGAATCTGGAATGGGACGCAATGGCCTCCAACCCCAGACGTGACACATGGGACTGCCGACTGCCGAGAAACGGTGGTACGGGGTGGTTGACTGGGGGTCAATTGATCGGCAGTCCTATGGCAGTCCCATGTGTCGTGTCTGGGAACCTAGACTGGAAGTGTGGCTCGTGGAGGGCGAACTCAGTGGTGGAAACCACGAAAAAGCACGGTGAGTTGAGCCCCGGGTCCGGAGGCTTCCGGACCCATTCGGACCGAGTGGGAGGGATTGGAGCACCCCCGCAGACGTCCTGCGGTCTGCAGACTGGGAGTGCACCCGTCCGCCACGGGTGCCGGGTGCTGGCAATGTTGGAGGGTGCTCCAGCAGTTTTGGTACACTCCCACTCACTAACATGGAAATGGACAAAGGCCCCAGGGGAGACCATGAAATCCACTACTGTACTGACAGGTGGTTTTCCACTTCCATGTGAGTGAGTCAGAGGGTATCCTTTTCGAGGCCAGTGTTTTGTTTGAGATCCGGGTGCTCTGGGAAGCATGAGAGGTCGAAAAGGGTCCTTGGGCCATGCACGAGGTCAACACAATTGGAGAATTATTGCTGGCACGCATTCGGCTTGCCGGCTTGCCTTCAAACTTGGCCTTTAAATGCGCGCCTTTATATCATTAATGCTCGCCTTTATGTCATTGTTTTGGCATGTTTTGGATGATTTGGGCCAAAACCTTGGAAGGCAGCCCAGAGACCATCATGCGGATCCCCTCCAGAAGCCTTGAGGGAAAGCATCCTTCCCTCGGTCGCCGGTCGCCCATCACCGTGTCCGGGCGGACTCCCAACCTCTGTACACCAAGGAATCAGCAGTGGACCCCTCCACCAAGGACCCAAAGCACCACTGAAGCTCCAGCCTATTCAGGTGGTCCTTTAAAAAGATGCCAAAACCACTCCACCCAAACACATCCAAATCAATCCTGTCCAAGTGTTTCGAAGACCCCGAAAATGATCTTCATTTTCCCAAGCATCCAACACCAAGACATACCAAAACGATCATCGAACCGGAACGCCACGCAACCTGGTGGAACCGTGTTTCACGCCCTATGCGACCTCGCCGTCCTTCCTTCCATCTGCGACCTCGTCGCCATTCTTTTTTCGACGAGGCGAGTCGGGCATCTTGGCCTTACAGCTGGACCCTGTGGAGCAGATGTGCACCGAAGCTGAAGATGGAGTCCTCGTGCAGTCACGGAGTTGGTTTTTAATTGTTTTTGGGGAGTCCATCATCTCTTGTGAACGTCCATGTCCTTTCAATGAAAACCATAGGTACACCGATACCATATGTTGGGCTTCAATAGGTTTCATGGTTTTCAGGAGTGATGCACTTGTTTCTTGGGCCGCGTTCCCAGTGAGTTTTGTCGACTGGAGCGTTCCGGCGTGGAGCCGTGGAGCGGACGAACTGACCGCTTCACAGCCCAGTCCGGAGCGGGCTGCTTCGCATGGGACATCGTGGAGACAACTCACGAACTGTGGCTTAGACAAGCTTAGACAAGCGTGCATGACTTTTCTGTATGTATATATATATATTAATATATACATATAGGGGCTCCAAATAGCGCCTCAGAAGGTACTTAAGACTTAGACCATCCAAACCTACCCCAAACATCTTCTGAGCAGTTTGGAGCTGTAGGGACTGTATGACCATCATTCACTACTTTGAGACTCTACTCGTGACTACTTCCCGACCCATGTAATCCAAGCGGCCACTATGTGGCCAAGACCACGCAAGGATTGTTTACAGAAACATGCTGGCCCAGTAGGTTTCCTGTGTCTTTGGACGTTTGGGAGAACACATTTCTTTTGCAAGCACCGCACAGATTCTCCTTTTTCGTCCGTGTTTCTTTTTTGGGGGGGAGGAAAGGCTATCCCTAAGCACCGCACCTCGCTACTGGCATTCGGGGTCTGACACGCTTCTACTTCCAAGGCTTATCTTAGCTGTACTTCCAATTGCTTCCCCTCCGCAACCCGCAACCGGCGGTTGCGGTGAGGCTACTGCGCACACGCGGACAGCAGCATCAGCTGCTGGCGCATCGAAGTGGGTCAAGCAGAAGTGAATCTCCTTGCACGGGAGGCGCGTTAAGGGCTCTGCGACTTAAGGGCTTGCTGAAGAAGGCTAGCGAAGAAGGCTAGCTGTCCGGGCCAGCCATGTCATGCCCATGACAATATCCTCTATGAAATGGCCAGGGTCAAGGCTTGTTATAAAACGTTTTATGACCACCCCACCTGGGGACGTCAGACCCTCATTTTATATAGAGGAAATACGGTTTTTCAGTGCGCGTTTCAGAATTGAGAATTGTAAATAAAATGACTTGCAGGACCCCCCCCTGGAGAATTGTCATGGCCATGTCATTTCCACGATGTATTTTAATAGGGAGGGAGACCTTCCAGTTCGATTTTCTGGAAGAAGGAAAACCAATGAAGAATAGACCAAACCGCACTGCTTAGGTATCTCCCTATTAGTTACTATGTACGTACCCACGGTGGGTGTCTAAGGACGTCCAAGGCCGTCAGGAAGAAAGCTGTACGAAACCCGTCACCAGTGGAGTGGACGGCTTGGCCAAGTACTGCATGAAACTCGCAGGTGAACTTTTTCGGGTCTATGGTCCCAGGCAATCTTCCAATTTGTGATGAACTACAAGACCTCCGAATCAGAGTGTAGAACCCAAAATCACCACTGGAAGACTTATGGTCCCTCTACCAGCCATGTGTCCGCATGTCTCGCCAGTTCCTCGTAAGGAACCCAGCCCCGCCTGGTCGCCGCGTCCGCCAGTTGAACGCGCACAGTGGGAGCATTTTGGCGTTTCACCTGGATCAGGCTTGGCCCCCCTCGGAGCAGGGTTGACCGGGCAAACTCGGTCCACTCAGGCAGGCTTACCTGAGAGCTACAAAGACCCTCCACTACCTAGCCAGTCAGTGGATCAAAGCCTTTTGGGAGTATGTCCTTTCCTTTCTAAACACACGTGCTCCGTTCGGATGTGACATCGAGGCGAAGCGGGCGTGCGTCGCTTCGCTTCGATTTCGAACGGACCAGAGCGTCGAGACCACCGCAGACTGTGAGCATGCGAGAGGGCCTGAACAGGTGGAAACGGTGAATCTGAGAAACTGCGAGGGGTCAGACATGGTGAGGCTAAGCTTAATAGTGGTAGTACAATGCTCAATACCTTTTGGATGGGCAGTGATGGGCAGAATCTCCACCATTTGGTGCACCAAGTGGACACGACTGGTAGCTCCACAACTGTCTCTTTCAACATCTTCCAACTCTTGTAAGTGCTTTTTTCGGGGTTCCAATTGCAAAAGTCGGGTGACGACTTGGATTACCAAATGAACCAACAGCAGAACCTCACCTTGATGAACTCCAAACGAACCCGTCGTTTTTCATCCTCTTTCACTTCCAGCTTCCCGCCCCTTCCTGGCGCGCTTGCGCGTGCGCGCCAGCGGGACCCGTGTCTCGGATCTCGAGCCCGGTCGCAGGTCTCGAAGCTCCTCCTCACGGCAGGACCCCGCCGCGGGGGGGCAGCCGTGGGAGAGTGCGGCGGCGAAGGCGGAGGGTCGCGAAGGGGGAGGGATCCCTGCAGATGAACATGGAAGAGACCCTGAAAACCACGGAGAGGTAGAATGTAGATGAGAATGGCCTTGCCTTCCAAATTTGGGCCACCAGAGTCAAAAGACGACCCGCCCCGTTGAAGTCACCAACTCCTTCGTCCAAGAACAACCTGCAAGACTTCACAGGGCATTTGGAGAAGAGACTGACTACACACTGAGTCGCTGAGTCAGACGGAAGTGGAGACCACCTGTTTGTAATTACATGTAGTGGTTTCAGAGTAGATGGCACAAACCCGAAAAGGTGCTTTATATGAATCCCCATGTAAAAGGCATTTTGAGGTCTGTGCCATCTACTCTGAAACCACTGGACATGCATGCGATTGTAGAGGAAAAAGGTCCTCCAAGGGGGCCACTTTCCACTCCCAAGAGTCTTTCAGGAATTGTAGTCTTGGGAATCCCTCCTGCACATACTTGGGAGGATCCGAGCGCCCCAACTGATGGGCCAGCATCATCCCAAACAGATCGTGTCCGTGTCCCATGCCCTAACTAACCAAGATCATTTCAAACATGCTTCGACCAGGTCTTCGACCAGGTCACATCCCGATTCCAAAAAGAATGGCACTCCATTGGTGCTTCGGGATTCAGTCACTGCTTGGAAGCCTATACCCACTATAGACTATGGTGACTAAATATGACTATACCTGCACCCTCCAACAGGTCACCACCTGCGACTTTTAAGTCAGCAAAAGCCTCCAGAGGAGACCTGTTGGAGGGTGCTGGTATATTTATATATATATATATATATC